GGGCAGTGAGGTCACACTGTGCGCGCGGGTGCCGAGGGCAGTGAGGTCACACTGTGCGCGCGGGTGCCGAGGTGGGCTAGGGGGTCACAGCGTGCACAGCGTGCGCGGGTGCCGAGGGGGGCGAGGGGGCCACAGCGTGCGCGGGTGCCGAGGGGGGCGAGGGGGCCACAGTGTGCACGGGTGCCGAGGGGGGCGAGGGGGCCACAGCGTGTGTGGGTGCCGCGGGGAGCGAGGGGGCCACCGTGTGCCTGGGTGCTGAGGGCTGTTAGGAAACCCGAGGTGTGTGTTTGTCGTGGGCCACGTCCCTGTGAGAGTCTGTCACTGTTGAACAGAGAGGGCTCTGCGTTCTCCAAGCTGGCTCCCATGTGGTTGCCTGCTCTGGCGAGGGGTCTGGGCACCTCTCACCCGGGTATGTTCATTTCTGGCCTTTTAGGAAGGCTGCCCATCCATGGAAGGAAGGAGTACCACAGGGGTGAAAAGTTATCTTAGAAATTTGAGGGAGAGAAAGCAGGAGGGGCTATTTGAGGCCTCCTGTTCGGTGGGAAACAATTTTATAGATGTGGAGTTTCTCTTTGGAGAATTTGAATAAATCTGACAAGATCTTTGGTGGTCAATTAGCCTCTGAATTATTTCTAGAAAACAGGAGCAAAATGATTTACCGGAAGACGTCAGTGTCGTTCTGAGGAAGGCCTATAGACACTTAGGCCGTTTCACCCACCTCCACGTTCCTTCCATCAGAGAAGAAAAGTAAGTGTCTTTATTTTTCCAACATCACATCTTCATAATCAGTGTACAAAATTTAGCAAGTACTGAAAAATGTGAAAAAATGTAGAAATGAGCAACTAGAACCACCTTCGGAAAAGCCAGCCATTGTGGAGGTTTTTAGTAAATTCCTTTCCGGTGTTTTGCGAGCACTTTCATAGCCTACTTTTTAACATGGATTTAACGTGTCGGCATGTGGATAGGCAATTACTGTGGCGCCTCTCGCGGTACTGGTGGCTGCGTGGTGTGTTGTGGGTGGGAGAACTCAGGTTTCTCTGGAGCACTTTTCAGGCTGGTTTGTTTGGATTCTGTGCTTTCCCAAATCCTCCCGGCACTTTGAGAGTTCAGGATAAGTCCTTGGCTGGAGTCTTGGAAGCAGGAAGCTGAGCCCGAGGCTTTCAGAAACACTTGGAAAACACTGGCAGGTTGCCTTTGTGGGCTCGGGGTGGGTGGGGGTTTGTCCTTTGCCCCTGGAGCAATTTTGTCACCTCCTCAGTAGCACTGTGTATATTTTTAAGAGAATGGGGAACAAGTAAATCTTGTTGGTATGGGATGCTGAAATTACCTGTTTGGTTTTATGGTGGCCGTGGGAAACTAACAGAGAAGGTGTATTAGTTATTTTTGGCTGCATAACAAATACCTACAAACTTAGCAGCTTGAAACAACACAGGTCCATGACCTCACCGTGTCTGTGGGACGGGAACCCAGGCACAGGTCTGTGACCTCGCTGTGTCTGTGGGACAGGAACCCTGGCACAGGTCTGTGACCTCACTGTGTCTGTGGGACAGGAACCCTGGCACAGGTCCATGACCTCGCCGTGTCTTTAGGTTCATGACCTCCCCATGTCTGCGGGACGGCAACCTGGGCACAGGTCTGTGGCCTCGCTGTGTCTTTAGGTCCGTGGCCTCGCCGTGTCTGCGGGACAGGAACCTGGGCACAGGTCCGTGGCCTCGCTGTGTCTTTAGGTCCGTGGCCTCGCCGTGTCTGTGGGACGGGAACCCAGGCACAGGTCCGTGGCCTTGCTGTGTCTGCTGGACCGGAACCCGGGTGCAGCAGCAGCCACAGTGTTGACTGGCTCTGGGTCTCTTCTCAAGGCTGGGCTAGGGAAGGGCCCTCCAAGCTCATTGGGGTGTTGGCAGGACTCTTCTTGTGGGTCCAGGCCCTGCCCCTGGCATGACCGCTCGTTTCCTCAGTGCCAGCAAGGGACAGCCAGCTGGCGCGCCAGACACCAGAGCATTTGTGGTCTCATCAGGGAGGTGGCACTCACCCAACGCCAAGGTCTCTGCTGCTAGCTGCAGGCTCCTTATGGGAGGGGCCACAGGACCACGGCTCAGCTGGAAGGGCACGGGGCCAGCCCTCTGGTGGGTCTGTTTTTGGGAGGGGTATGAATGCACGTGTACACGGGGATGCATGTGATACGTTGTTCTGGAAGGCGTTTACGTCTTCTGTCAGACCCTCCAAGGTGTAATGGAAGTCCGGCCGAGCTTCCCCTTCCGTGGCCGGGTGCTCCCAGGAGAGGTCTCGGGACCAGTGGAAATAGCCCTTATTCTGAGCTCTGTCCACAGGTGGGATCCTCGGGCACCTTTATGGATTCTCTCCTGACCTGCCCAGCAGGCCTGTGTGCTGGGGCTTGGGTAGGATGGAGAGGCCCAGCCTGCCAGGACCTGAGAGGGTCCAGGAGCTGAGCAGGGGGGAGGTGAGCAAGGATAAGGGGTGCACAAGGGTCTGCACCCCCCCCAAAGGCAACCCAGGACTGCAGGGAGGATGCTCACACCTCACTGAGGGCCAGGCTGGGTCACTGCCAGCAGCCACCAATGGCATTCCTGGTAAGACTGCGATTCCTCCCAGGGAAAGGGCAGAAGCTGTGGACGTGCTCCTGGTGACGTTCAGCAATGTCTGGAGACGCTGTGGGCGGCAGCTACAGGTGCACCCTTCGTCTAGTGGGCCATGGTGGCAAGGCTGCCAGCGGGCAGGTTCCTCCTGGCAGAGAGGGGTTCAGGCAGGACACCCTGGCCTAATGTCCACCCCAGGAGCACACCCGTGATCCCTGAGCCCCACAGCAAGCCTTCAAGTGGGGCGCTGAGTGCACCCTGTGTGCTCTGTCGAAGTCGTCTGTGGCATGTTGATATAAATTCTGGCCTCAGCCTGTCCATTTCTACACAGACCCTGATTGGTGACTGTACCTGCGATTGGTGATGCTCCCATGGGCTTGTTGCCTGGTGGGGATCCCCAGGCTCTGTGTGGGAGGGAGGAAGGCCCAGGCTCCGTGTGGGGAGTGTGGGGACCCCTAGGCTCCGCGTGGGGAGGAGGGAGGCCCAGGCTCCGCGTGGGGAGGAGGGACCCCCAGGCTCCGTGTGGGGAGGAGGGAGGCCCAGGCTTGGTGTGGGGAGGAGGGAGCCCCAGGCTCCATGGGGGGTGGGTGTGGGGAGGCTCCTGTCTGTTCCCTGCGGGGCCTCTGTCCTCTTGAGCTGCAGATATGGGTCTGAGCGTCTGTGCAAGGCAGTGGCTGTGATGACTCAGGAAGTGGCCCCTGTGCCTACCCTGGGGTCTGCAGGTGACCTGAAGGCCTGGAGTGAGAGGAACAGGGCATCCAGCAGGGACGCGGTGGCCTCCACAGCTGTGCTGGCCCTGGGAGACCGCTGGACTCCCATGCTATAGCCTCAAGCCCGGCTGTACCTCATAGCAGGGTTTCTGTTCTAATTCATTACATTTGTTTCTGATCCTGCCTTTGTTCCCTGCCTCTGGTTGAACGGGGACGTTGATTCTCCCGTGAGCCGTATTTCCTGTGCCCGGTGCTGAGGTGGTGCTGGCCGGTTGGTTTGTTTGCAGAATGCTTCTGCTGTTTGAATTGGCTCGTTTTTCCCTGACCTTGAAGTGCACGGAGATCTCCTCTGATTGCCTCTCAGACCTGAAGAAGATGGAAAGCGCGGTAAGTGGCTTCGTGACACAGCTGGCGGGGGTGCGGGGGGTGCTCACCATGCGTCTGGATGAAAAGCGGAGGAAAGGAGAAGCAGGCACAGCTGTGGCCGCAGAGCCTCCGTCGGTAGAGTCGGCTCACTGCCGTCTTTCTTACCTGCGTTTTGCACGGCTGCGGTTAGATGATTTTTGCAATTTTGCACCACAGTTGTTTCTAGAGCCCACTCTGCGGGCGGCATAAAATCTCCTGATGCTAGTGACCCTAGCCCTCCACCAGTCCCATCACTGGACGTGCAGACCTCGTCGGCAGGGCCTCGCTTCCCACGGCACGGCCTCATATGCTGCAGTTTGTTACCCGTGGGCACCGACAGTATGAAAATGCTCAGGTCTTCTGACAGACAGGCCACGTCCACGTCACATTTATGGCCGTGGGTGTTGTGACTGTATTTTGTTATTATTAGTCGTTGTAAATATCTTACTGTGGCTAACTGATGAACTGAACTTTATCCCAGGGATTCATGTAGACAGAAGCCGCACCGTACGTCGGGTTTCAGGCCTCCCCTGGGTTGGGGGTCTTGGAAGGCATCCTCTCAGAGAGGGCCGGGCTGCCGTGTCACTTTTTGCTTATTACGTAAAGGGCTGCAGTGAACATGTTGTGCCTAAAACATTTTTCTGCGTTTAGGATTTTTCCCTAAGCTGAGCATATCTACACGAAATGACTAGGGAATTTTCACTTTTAATATTTTGAGAGTACATGTTATAGTACTGCCCTCTAGAAAAAGCTTCACACGAGCAAAAGTATGTAAGACTGCACACATCAAGTGTACTGTATCTTGAGGGAACCATGACGGGGCTCTTTCACAGGGCAGGGCTTCAGCACCGTGCACCACACTGAGTGTCGATTTACACACGGAGCGTGCAGAGGGGGACCCTCAGATCCACGCCGCGTGCTGGGGCCGCCCTCGTGCTGTCCTCCTTGAGTGGAGCATTCAGAGGGGGGCCCTCGGATCACAGCCACGTGCTGGGGCCGCCCTCGTGCTGTCCTCCTTGAGTGGCTGCTGTGTGCTTCGCCCCAGGTTACATAAGAGTAAATGCAAACAAAGCCATCGGCAGCACGGGAGACACGCCATGGCTCAGCATGGGGAAGGGTGCGGGGAGCCAGCCAGTCACACTGAGGGCTGTGCTGATCTGGAGATGGTTTTGGAAAAGGAAGTGAGTTCCTGTGCCCTTGACAGGCAGCCCTTGGAGGGACCGCACAGGTGGCGGAGGGCAGGGTACAGGCGGGAAGCGTGGTCAAGGCTGGAAACAGCAGGCCACGTAGCACGGAGGATGGGAGCAGTGTGGGAGGCGCTCCTGTGTTTGACACCCTTTACTGGGTTCTGTGGACCCCATTTCCATCTTCTGGCTTTCCGTGGCACAGTGGCCCCAACTTAGAATGAGTGTGGGGCACCTGGGTCCAGCCCTACTGCCTCCTTCCTTCAGCTTCCTGAGCCTCGGGGTTTGTCCCTGTAAAATGGCAGCGTAACAGGACCCATCTGCAAGGGCCACTGTGGAGTGGAAAGCAATGTTTTGTGCATCCCAGGTCGAGGCTCCTGGGCAGGTGCCTGCAGCCGTGGAGCTGCTGATAGAGAGACTCCTGTGGCCCAGCTCTGCCCCCACCGCCTGTGGCCCCTGCAGAGCATGACCCCATGTTGAGGACACTCTCCTGGCCCTTTGCCCGGTTGGCCTCTGCCCGTCCAGCCCTCAGGCCCCAGCCCTCCTGTTACCTCTTGGCTAACCGCTGGTCATGACCTCCACTGGAAGCTCATTATCCCTGCCAGCTTCCCATTAGGCATTTAGGATCTCATGAGATTGATTTTGTAAAATCTCATCGATGTTAAGGATATGAGTGGTTTTTAATTTTGAAGCCTCGATGCATTTTTAAAGACTAGCCACTTCCAATGTTTCACAATTGCCTGAGCAAATGGTGGAAATGGTTTCACTGGGCAGACGCCCTGACCTGTGGGATCTCGTGAAGAGCTTTCAGATCCAGGAGATCCGTGACCACGTGGGAAGCACGGAGCTCTTTTTCCAACCTCCGTGAAGCCGGGCACAGCTTCCTCAGCAGCATGGGGGTTGGCAGCCGGTGGACAGGCCGGGGCACACAGCCCAGGATGGCAGCCTCTTGTGCTCTCCATGCTGGCTGGCGCCGAGCCCCAGACGGGCAGGACCCTGGTGCAGCCATCCCCAGTGCTGTGGGCGCGGCTCGGTCCTCGCGGACGTCTGCTGCTGAGGACCTGCTCGTCGGGACGGAGGCGTCTGTGCTGTGAAGATGCTGCTCCGTCAGCGACTGAGCTCACAGACCAGAAGACCTGCACCCCTCGAGCCCCAGCGGGTTTAGGGCCTCAGTAGCTTTACAGAAGCTCCCAGCAGGTCCGTTCTCCAGGCTTCAGGGCAGCCCGGGGCCACCAAGCAGCCTGGCCGAGGTCTGGGTACCAGGTGTTAGGGGACGGGACGAGGCCCCTGAAAAGGGAAAATTGGGGCCTTCCCTGTCACTCTCGGCTGGTGGGGCCTGCAGACAGGCGAGGAGTCGGCATAGCTGAAAACGCTTGGCTTCCTCACTTCTACCTCTGCGCCGCAGGCGCCTTCCTGCCATCCCTTGATTGTGTTAAACTTGTACCCAGTTGTATTTTAAATGGTCCTTGAAGTTAATGAATGTGCATGGCTGCTTCCCTTCCAAATCACTTATCTTTTCAAAAACGGTTTGTATCTGCAGGATCCCGGGAAGCTGATTGAAATTGAGTGTCTGGAGTGTGAATCCGAAGCCTTAAGACTTGAGAGTAAAATGAAAGTGTACCTCCGAGCAGCTGTTGAGGTGGGTCCTCACGCAGGAGCCGCACGCCTGGCACTGTTTTGCAGATTCCTGGAACTTGGTGCCAGTTGAGTTTGTGCCAGGTTTGAGGATGCCGGGGACATGGCCTGGACCCCACTCCTGGACGCACCCTGGCTCCCATGACAGCCGGTGTGAGTCCACCCTCCAGTGCCACAATCCTTTCCCACACACGGGGCCCACATACCTCCCTGGTGGTTTGGGGTCATGCAGGTGGGGTGTGACTCCCTCCAGCCCTCCTCCTGCCGCCCCTGCAGCGCTGCCCCCTCCCGTTTGTGTGGTGACGCCAGCCTGGGAGAACGGGGTTGCATCCCCACAAGGGCTTCTGCCAGCCTCACTTGAGCCTGGGAAAGTGTCCTAATGGTGAGGGGACAGAAGTCACTGCTGGCCCTGGCGTCGGCTGCCAATGACAGGCACGTGAGCCTGACCCACCTCCGTGCTGCTGTCTGAGATGACTGGCTCTGGGACAGCCGCCACTGCCAGGAAGGGAACTGGGAATTATTTCAGACTCTTCCTCAGTAAGAATTTCCCTGTTAAAACATGAAGAAAAACCTGACAGATGGTGTCACACAGCCCTGACGTGCTGCCACAGCGAGCACTACGGGGGTTGGCCCAGGAGCCCTCGGGCCCCGTCAGCCAGGCCGTGCGAGGGGCACTGAGCAGCCGGGGGTGTGATGGTCAGTGCTGGAGGTGCCGTGGCGGGGGATGAACAGGGTGGCCAGGAGGGCCTCCCTGCCCCCACAGCTTATGTACCCATCCTCAGCCTGTGCTGCCAGGCCCGTGTGTCTCGGCCCGGTGGGTGCTGATGCTCTTGTAGACTTGCTCCTTGGGTCCCTCTGCAGGGCTGAGCATCTTGAGGGAGGTTTTAGACTGCTGCTGTGCGCTGGTGCTGTGCGTGTGGCAGGCATTTAACGAGTGTTCGTTTAAGGAATGATTTCCAGACGACGCTTTGGCTGCTGCGCCTTGTCTGAAAGTGCGGAGAGGCTGCTGTGGCAGCGGCACTGTGGGCCTGTCCGAAGGTGAGCAGAGGCTGCCGTGGTGGCGGCACTGTGGGCTTGTCTGAAGGTGCACAGAGGCTGCTGTGGCTGCGGCTTTGTGGGCTTGTCTGAAAATGAGCAGAGGCTGCCGTGGCTGTGGCACTGTGGGCCTGTCCGAAGGTGAGCAGAGGCTGCCGTGGCGGTGGCACTGTGGGCTTGTCTGAAGGTGCACAGAGGCTGCCGTGGCGGCGGCACTGTGGGCTTGTCTAAAGGTGGTCAGGGGCTGCCATGGCGGCGGCACTGTGGGCTTGTCCTTAGGTGCGCAGGGGCTGCCGTGGCTGCGGCACTGTGGGCTTGTTCAAAGGTGCGCAGAGGCTGCCGTGGCGGTGGCACTGTGGGCTTGTCTGAAGGTGGTCAGGGGCTGCCGTGGCGGCAGCACTGTGGGCTTGTCTCAAGGTGCGCAGGGGCTGCTGTGGCTGCAGCACCGTGGGCTTGTTCAAAGGTGCGCAGGGGCTGCCATGGCTGCGGCACTGTGGGCTTGTCTGAAAATGAGCAGAGACTGCCGTGGCTGCAGCTCTGTGGGCCTGTCTGAAGGTCACAGAGGGTGCCGTGGCGGCGGCACTGTGGGCCTGTCCGAAAGTGGGCAGAGGCTGCTGTGGCTGCGGCACTGTGGGCTTGTCTGAAGGTGTGCGAGGCTGCCGTGGCGGCAGCACTGCGGGCTTGTCTGAAGGCGTGCGAGGCTGCCGTGGCTGCGGCACCGTGGGCTGCACAGCTCCTCTCCCACCTCACCTGCTGAGGGTCTCAGATGGCCGGCCCTGGCGTGAGAGGCTTTGCGACCCAGCAGCCAAGTGGCAGGATGGGGTTGTGAGTTGCAGGCTCCACCTCAGCCTGGGGCAGCCACAGGCTGTGGGGACATGGCCAAGTGAGCACAGGACAGACAGGAGGCCCAGCGGGGCTGGCGGGAGGCGGGAGCATGAGTGAGGAGGCTGGTTCCGCTGTCCTGAAATCCCAGCCTGAGCCTTTGTGCCGGGAAAGGCATGTGTAGCACAGACCGTTGCTGGGAGGGTGGGAAGCGTATCGCGCAGAGGCCACAAGAAAGAGGCGAGGTTGGGAAGGGGCCAGGAAGGGAGCAGTCCCCGCCGACCCCACACAAGGGACATGGACGCAGCCGCAATGTGCAGGCACCACCGAGCCTCCTGTGTGTAACACCTTGTGAGACGCCCACGTCCTCCTAGAAAGGGTCACTCTGGCTGTTTTCACAGACAGACTCGGGCACGGCCCCACGCAGGGTGATGGATTTAGGGCCTGAGTTCTCAGCCTGCCCTGGCTGCATGTGCCGCCCCAACCCCGCAGCTCGAGGCAGCAACGTCCGCAGAGTCACCCATGTCCTCTCCGCAGACCCAGCTGGATATCATACAGAGACTGGACATCACGCTGCGGCGAGCTGTCCGCCTGGGCGACCCCCGGGTCATCCATGTGGTGTGCACCACGCAATGGAACACCTGCCTGCCCCTGCTGCAGCACAACCTGCGGCACCACCTGAGGAAGCCACTAGCCAACGTCGCGGAGGTGCTGGAGAAGGTGGACAGGTGGGGGCGCCTGCGCTGTGTTGTCTGCAGAGTGTGGCCTGTGGGAGGAAATGGCGGAGGAGGAGGAGAAGGTGGTCCAAGCCCCTTTGCCATGACAGTGCCACAAGCGGCAAACTCCCCCCGTACTCAGTGAGGGCCACCCCCTGTTCCTGCTCATGGCCAGGCATGCCGAGTCCTCTGTGGTGCGTTGGTGGGGCCAGAGGAACAAGCAGGCTCAGCCATACCTCACGGTGTCTGTGCCCCTGGAGCCTCCATGGAAGGGGGCCTGTCTTGGCCACAGAGGCCAGGAGTGGGGGCTGGTTGTGGCTCTGTGGGACTTGGGCCGTCCTGGGTGAGATGGGAGTGCTCAGAGGGCCCACCATATGGGAGGAGCGTGGTGTGGCCTCAGGAGTGACAGGAACACAGGGGCCAGCGTGGCGGCAGGTGTAGGCATCAAGGGTGGGCCATGGCGGGCAGGAGGCAGGTGCCGAGGGTGGGAGGCAAGGGCAGGCAGAGAGACACGGTCCTAGGTGAGACATTACTGGCTGAGAGCCCTGGGATGTCCCATGAGAGGAAGGAGAGGAGGAAGGGCGAGGTCACTGAGGGGACGTGGGTTCCTGGCCAGGGAGGTGGAGGGGCTGCTGTGGGTGGGGCTGGCACAGGAGGAGAGCAGGGATGGGGGGAGCAGAGGAGGGAGAGTGTGTGGAGGGAGGGGTTACCCAGGAGAGTGGGGGTGTCCGCTGTGGGAAGAGGCCGTGGGTGCATCCACGGCCACCTTCAGCAGCTCTGACGAATCAGAGGCTGGGCTTGGTCGTCCCCAGGAGGAGAGGGAGGCGTGGTCAGTCCTTCGGAGACGGGTGAGCTGGGCTTTCCTGCTGGGCACCTGTGGATCCCGTTCTGCACCAAGACTCACAGCTCTCCCCGCATCGGGGGAGCGTTACAATCTAAAGCCAGATTTCTTCCTGCCTGCCCTCTTCAGTTTCTCCTCTGGAATTCCACTCGAGTGTGGGGCCCACTGCTGTGCGCCCTTCACCCTCCTCACGCGGCTTCCTCCCTCTCCTGGACCCTCTTTCTCTGCCTCTCCGTCCGTCCTGTGTTCCTCTGTCTCCGTCTCCCCCCGGCCCAATCCATCTCTCTTCCAAGCGCATTCCAAGGACACCTGGAAGACTGGCGCCTGCCGGGATGGGAAGTGGGGCCAGGCGGGGGCTTCACTCTCCTCTCCTTTCCTGCCTTTGGGATTCTCCTGAGATGGATGGAGCCGAGTCCTTAGCAACGAGACACGGGTTCCAACCTGCCTCTGTGGCGCCACATGGCACGTAGCTGGCCCTGAAAGAAATACAAGAATTTTACCCCAAAATATGTTCCTTTGACATAGTTTGGAGTGGTCCAGCCAAGCCACCTTTCATGGGGAAATCTACGTCTGTGGAGAATCCGCTTCCCTCCCAGGCCGTTCCCAATCCCGCAGTGACGTAACTGCCGTCTGACACCGTCTCAGGTCTGCCTGCACCATCCGTGCCGCCCAAAGCCTCCGCCTGAGGCCTTCACACACAGAACAAGAACCCTGACCCCACCACCCACCTTATCCGAACCCGAACATTTCCTTCTGCCGGCTTCAACTCTTTAGATAATAACTCAACCAGTCGCCAGTAGGAAATGTTCGAATCCACCTGTGATGTGGAAGCAACCCCAGCGCCTGCAAGTTTTCCTGCCTTTCCTGACCCAAGCAGTGGACACGTCACAGGCAGTGATTGATGTCTGCTGCCTCCCTGCAGCTGTGCCCGCCTCCCCTGGACACGTGTTCTCAGGACCTCCCGAGGCTGTGTCACGGCCAGGGTCCTCACTTGGCTCGGAAGACGTGACTTCAGAGAGACCGTTTACAGACTGGGGCTTCCATCGCGCCCTTTCCCTTTCTCCCTCTGAATGGAGCCGCCAGGATGCTCTTGCCAGGTCCCAGCAGGTTTCCCCCTGCTGCGCTTTCATCTCACAGATTCTCTTAGACTCTTGAATGACTGTTTCTCATTTCCAAAGTACCCTGTTAGCTTATGTGTATATTTTCCTGATTTTAAAAAATAACTCCTGCTAGTGAAATGGCTCCGCAGTCTGGGGTATGTACATACCTTGTGGTTTGTTGTCTTGTGCTGAGAAAGAATTCAGGACGCAGACACCTGTGGGCAGCCGTGCTCATCGGCCCACTGGCATTTCAACGTAGATTTTTTAAATGGTCTTCATGGCTCGTGATGAGCGTCTTGTATGAGGTTATCAGCCTGTATTTTATGAAGTGTCTTTTCAACACTTTTAATCGTTTAAGAGCCGTGTAGTTGTCTTTGTGTTCCGGAGGCACTGGAGTTCTTCGTGTACGCCTGACACAGATCTTTGTCTGATGTGTGTGTTACGAGTATTTCCCCCAGCTACAGTTCGCTCTCTCTTTTTCTGAACAATGTCTTTCGAAGGCAAAGAGGTCTCCTGGCAGATGGGGCCACGTTTGCAAATGCCTCAGTAACAGGGTTATTGAATTTTGTGTCCTTCCCGGAATTACTTACCTTTTGTAAAAGCTACAGATTCCTGTTTTCCTGTGCTTAGCAGTTCTTACACGGGCTTCAGGGCCCTTTTACACTCTGAAAAGTCATTGGCAGCTGGGCGCAGTGGCTCATGCCTGCAATCCCAACTCTGGGAGGCTGAGGCAGGAGGCCCGACTCACCTGAGCCCAGGAGCTGGAGAGCACCCTGGACAGCAAAGCGAGATCCCACCGCTGTCATTTAAAAGTAAGAAAAGCACGGAGGACCCTGAAGAGCTTTGACTTGATAGATTAGATTGATTGATATTTATTGTGTTAGAGATCAAAGTGGAGAAAATATTGGACAAGAACGCACAAGCACATGTTTCTGTAGCATTGTAGCCATGACGTGGTGTGCCATGAAGCCTCTGGAACATTCTTTTACATGTATTTGTGAGAAAATGGGAGTGGACATAGGAAACCGTGTCTTAGGACTGTTATGAAATAGTTTAACCTTGTGGACCCACTGAAAGGGTCTTAGAGACCCCCAGAGTCCCGGGCACGTGTTGAGAGCTGCTCTTCTAGTTTCTAGTTTTTGTTTTTGCGTTCACTTCAGCAGTCCACTGAGGGTGAAGTTTGGTATATGATGCCGGGGGCGGGGGAGGGTGAGCCTCACTTTTTTTCCGTCCAGATCTTCCCCTTGTTTCAGAACCATTTGTCAAAAGTACGTCCTTTCCCTCGGAGTCGCGTTGGCAGCTCTGTTGGGCGTCAGCTGAGCTGCAGTCTCTGACGCGCTCTGCACGTTGGTCTGTCTGAGGTGAGCTTGCACCGCGCTCCCCAGTCCCTGTGGATCTGTCGTGACTTTTGACATGAGCAGTGCAAGCCTTCCAGCGTTCTCTTGGAAGGCTGTTTTGGTTATCCTAGGGCCTGCGTGATTCCATGAAACTTTTAGGAAGTGGCTTGCCAATTGCTAGTGGGGTGGGTGGGGAGGTACCCGTGTGATGGGAATTATACTGAATCTGCAACTGAGCTTTGGGAGAAACGGCAGCACTGAGTCTTTCCGCCCCGGTGCCGGCCCCACTCTGATGGCACGGGTCCCTGATTTCTCTCAGCAGAGGCCGTGCCTGTGTCCATCAAACTCACTCCCAGGTGTGGTGTGGCTCTTGATGCAATTGTCTACAGTATTGTTTTTCTACACTTAAGTTTCTCATGGTTTGTTATATTTAGAAATACAGTTGATGTTTGTATATTGACCTTACATTCTGCGAGGCCAAATCCGCTTATGAAAGGTGCCTTATGGCTTTCAGGGCACACATCTACGCCACCTGCCTGATGTCTCTTTTTCTTGCCTCTGGCGTTGCCTGGGACCTGCCAGAGGGACTTGGAAGCTGCTGCAGCTAAGCACTGCCCGCTGGGCCCAGTGGGGAGGACGCGGCCCGGCCTCCTCCCGCTCCTGGGCCCGGTGGGGAGGGCCCGGCCCGGCCCCCTCGTCGAGGGCGTGCGTGCGCCAGTGTGACTGGCTCCCATTGTAGCAGGGGGCATCCCTGCTCTTCTAGCATTTGGACTTTTTTTTTAACTCATGAATGGGGACTAAATGTCAAGTGTTTCTGTGTGTCTGTTACGACAGTCACGTGCCTTCCTGTGTGTCCGTTACAATGGTCACGTGTCTTCCTGTATGTTTGTTACAACAGTCATGTGTCTGCCTGTGTGTGTTACGATGGTCACGTCTTCCTGTGTGACTGTTAGGATGGTCACGTGTCTTCCTATGTATCTGTTACGATGGTCACATGTCTTCCTGTGTGTGTTACCATGGTCACGTGCCCTTCTGTGTGTCCATTATGGCGGTCACGTGCCCTCCTGTGTGTGTTACCATGGTCACGTGCCCTCCTGTGTGTCCATTACGGTGGTCACGTGACCTCCTGTGTGTCCGTTACGGTGGTCACGTGCCCTCCTGTGTGTCCGTTATGGCTGTCACGTGCCCTCCTGTGTGTGTTACCACAGTCACATGCCCTCCTATGTGTCAGTTACGGTGGTCACGTGCCCTCCTGTGTGTCCGTTACGGCGGTCACGTGCCCTCCTGTGTGTCCGTTATGGCTGTCACGTGCTCCCCTGTATGTCCCTTACAGCAGTCACCTGCCCTCCTGTGTGTGTTACCACAGTCATATGCCCTCCTGTGTGTCCGTTACGGCGGTCATGGGCCCCCCGTGTGTCCCTTACGGCAGTCACCTGCCCTCCTGTGTGTGTTACCATAGTCATATGCCCCCCTGTGTGTTTGTTACGGCGGTCATGTGCCGTCCTGTGTGTCCATTACAGCGGTCACGGGCCCCCCGTGTGTCCCTTACGGCAGTCACGTGCCCTCCTGTGTGTCCCTTACAGCAGTCACCTGCCCTCCTGTGTGTTACCACAG